ACTTTAAACCCTAAAAAACCCTAAACCCTAAACCGAATTTGCTTTTCGAAGATTCAAGCTTGAAGCTTCAGTCCTAACCTAAGGTAGGCGCATTCAGAATTAGAATAGGGTCTTGGGGGTATGTTATACGACATTTATAAGAAGGAACCTCCAAAATAGTATTGATAATTATTTAGGCCCCTCTATTACTTCCTACGTATCCCCGAACCTCAAGACCTTTGGGCTCAGGGCGTATACGAACGGTCATTATCTCTGATGAAAATGTTATGCATTTTACGTAACCAGGTATCTTGCCAGGACAATGCAGGGTTACATCCCCGGAACCCTCAACTCCTAAATTTGCAGAGAACCATAGACCTTTCACAGCTTTGTAAGGTGCCGCAGGATCTTATGGGGTCAGAGTTTCGTCGGAGTGCTAAGGAGTTTTACCGAGTAAGCAGTCCTGCTGGGGGTGTCCGCCACATAAAATGCGAGGTCTAATCCTCTAGGCCGCTCTGTTAAGCCCTGAAATGCTGTACTTATTGCAACAAGGAAACTTGAAGAATAGTAATACTAATGATTCAAGCTTCCATGTTAAGCCCTGCCTGAACAAGGAAAATCAGGATTGTGATTTAAAGTAGAACTTACTATAAGTACCAAAAAAGGAGCCCTAGGGAATGTTCTCAGTAACCATTAGCGCCCTTTCTATCTAGGTGTCCCGGCAACCCCTTCAGAATTAGGGTCCCCTTTTTTCCCACTACTCAGTTCTAAGACTAAGAAAGAGACCACAAAACAACAAGGGCAAAAGGGTACCCTAAACCCCAAATCCAAATCCTATTAAAAGGAAGCTACCTAGGCCTCTCCTACAAGACCCGCCTGGTGTCAGTTCCAGCGGCAAATACTCCGACAAGAGTGCTTTCCTTGCAAGTCGTGGGGTCTTTGGGAGTGCCCAACTGACATGGCCGTGGCAAACTGCAAGCTAAAGTTGGACCAATTTCACAACATGTAAACACAAAGCTGCATAAGACTTCTGGGCTCACTGCTATGAGCGTCTGTCAACTACTCGTTCATAAGGCTGTGTATATTAACCCTTCATACGCCAGCAGTCCTAAAACTCCTAGGCCCAAAAATCTTAAGCCTCCCCCAAACCAAACCAAAGCTCTGAGATGCATCGCCTAGATTCCTAGATATTAGTAGCAAGCACCCCAACACTAACTTTGACATCAACTGATCTCTCCTTTTCAATTGGGGAGGCTCTAGCTTCGGCTACAACGGCTGCAGTGGGCAAGACAAAGCGTGCAAAAAAAGGTTTTGCACGTGTCTCAGAAGTGGGTCCTCCTTCCCAAAGAGTCCGGAGTACCATCGCGTCTAGCACGGTCAGGCGGACACTTTCAGCAATGGTCTTCTAGATGTTGTGTCTGCACTACCCTGATCTTGGTACTTGACGATGTGCAACATCCAGCGCTTGTTGGGAATATAGCGGCATCTCCCTCCGACCTCCGAAACGCGCGCCTGCAAGGCGCCCCATCGGTTATTCTGTTGATCCCGCGGTTGGCTGCGCGGCCAGAACTTGTCGCCCATCTTCACTTTTAGCCAGTGGTGATCCGGCTCCGGCTCTCCAGACCGACGCCTGAAGACTTCTTCTATGTTTAGGGTTTAGGGTTTAGGGTTTAGGATTTAGGATTTAGGGTTTAGGGTTTAGGGTTTAGGGTTTAGGGTTTAAGGTTTGGGGTTTAGGGGGAGCCCGACGCCTGAAGACTTCTTCTATGACGTCACAAAGTCCGTCGACACTGACCAGCGTATCTGCCAATCCAAGAAACCTGAGCTTCCGAAAGCAAGGAAGCTTCAGGATCAGGCCCAAGGCATCATCTGCAAGTTTGGTTCCAAAGAAGTCCTTGCTTCCCCAATAAGCCAGGGAAATAAAAGGTTGAACTTTCAGATTGCTACTAAATTATACGAACCAAAAAGTTTAAAGGTTGGGTATTGGAGATCTGAGAGTCAAGACGGTCAAGTTTCAGCTCCTCAGCCTTTCGGAACCATACCACGAGCTTCTCAACACCTCGTTGAACGTCGGATATCTCGCCGAGTCCCAACCTGAGGGAGACGTCTTTGATCTCTTGGCGCTTCTTGCTGAGAAAAACATCATCTGAAAGGCCCTTGGTGAAGTCTGTTTGGTCCAAGGTTAGATGGGTCTTTGATTCCTCCTCCACACGTCGCACAATACGAGCGCGCAAGCTCTCACCCTGGCCCTGCTCAAAGATCGCAGATTCCACCGCAGGTCGCAGCATGCCTTGTATGCGGTGGCTGTGCTCCTTGGCATATGCTCCCACCTTCTCCTCCTTTGCTTCCGCCTCTGCAGCGTTGGGAAAGGCTTATGCTCGAACGGCTTCAGCGAACCCTAAACTCTAAACCCCTAAACCCTAAACCCTAAACCCCTAAACCCTAAACGCTGAACGCTGAACGTTTCTCAAAAGGTTAGTCTGGTCAGATGCATTCTTGGAAGCCGCGCTGTTTAAACAAACTGGTGTGTAAACCGCAAATACCAGTAAGGTTGAAACACAAGCTTGAAACATGTTCTCTTAAGTCTTATTATGGTTCCTTTTATTATGTGGGGCCTTTCATGGGAATCCTTTCTAAACCATGCTTTATAATTGGGGAAATCCCTCTTGGGTGCTCATATGAAGAAGCAAAGTCTCAGGGGCCTTCATTGACGTCTTCACTATGGGACGTTAACAATACTAGAACGATACCATGATAATACTATAACCATACTATATATAATAATACTTTAATATTACTACAAACACAATAACACGGACAAGAATAACTATGATTAGGTCCTTTTTAACAGGTTTTCATTAGGGTTTTTGTGGAAATCCCAGTAACAGACCGCAAGTACAAGCTGTAGTCCTGTCGGTCCAGTTTGTTGCTGTGTCATCATCAGAACGTGCGTTTACTCAGTGTTACCGTTTCGAACTTATTCTTACTCGAATTGCTGTTTTTTCTAGCATTATTACCGCCACTGTCATCGATACTGGCCTTGTTGAGCGTTTAACACTGATTTGTCACTGGTAGTACCTCTATTGTTAAGGTTATCTTTTGTTCGTATGCAAACTGTTGTGCTTATAGCTACTCTTGATATGACTGCTAGGTACTGCTATTGTTGCTCTTGCCGGCTGCCGCTACTGGTGTTACTGCTACTACCCCTCCTACTACTACTACTACTGCT